GTCCTCTTTGAGAACATTGATGATAGAATACCAAAGCTTATATGTCTCATGGCTGGGCACTGTTATGCTTGCTTTTCCTAGTACGCTAATGCAGCAAACCTCATTATTATCATCATTATCATTAATGAGATATGTGAAACAGGATGAGGACGGGAAAGAAGTCACCAAGGTTCTGCATCAATATACAGCCGAGAAACTGTCATCCTTTGGGGAACTAGCACTAATGTATGTTGCAACTGCAGATTATGTATCCTTGTCATCACTCTTTCACCTATATATGGATGACAAAATAGCATTATTGTTTTTTTCTTTGTTTGGCATAAAAGAATTATGCTGAAAATTTATAGGAAACATAAATGTGTACTTTCATGTGCAAATGATTATAACAGTCCCCCATCAATCAGGGGAAAAAACACAAAAAAGGTATGCTATGGTTCTTGTGGGTTGTTAATTGTGCCAGATATCCATTTAATTGGTGAAGATCTGGGTCAAAGGGTCCATTAGTTAAGCAGAAGCTTTTGTCAAACTTGTGCAAACATGATAAACAGTTCCATCCACAAACCCAAGCAATGATCTAGGAAATCTGCAGATTGCATCGCCTTTCTTTAAATGTCACAGACTAATTAGATATATAGTAAAAGAATGACATTTTCAGTAGCATAGCATTAAATATGCAGCAAAAATGCATGGTTGGAGTCGAACATGTATTTCTGTGTGCATGGAATATTTTTTAAATTTCTTTTTTTTCTTTGAAGGTGCACAAAATACCTTTACAATGTAGCCATCAATATGATTAAAATTAAACACGACGATGTAGAGTGCATATGTTCTTGTTATGGTGTCCTGCATATGAAGATAGGTCCTTCTCGTTGGCCTCCCCCAGGAAGCCAAAGGCAGCGTCAAACTTTTAGCTTTGTGATTGCTACAATTATACACGTTAGCATATGACATTTTATTCTGTTTCCATTTTCTATTTGGGGCTTTGCTGAAGGTAGTTTTTACAAAATTTATGCATCTGAGTGTCTGTGTCATTCTTGTATAAGATTCAAGCCAATGAACAAATTTTTTTTGTTATTCCAAGTGAATTTTATTGTCCATTATCATATGTGGTGCTGTCGGGATATATCTTGGATACTTCATGTGTTTATCATCCAAATTATGCATCTGCTTTTGGCAGGAGGAAAATGTTACATTTGTTGTGTGACTAATGGCTCTCTCATAGGTACAATAAGCCTCTTCAAGCATCCGTTCATGCAGTTACCTCTGGAACTCTTTGGTCTTTAAAACGGGAAGACTTTCGAGGAATTCTTATGTCAAAATTTTCCAACTTATCTTCATTAAAGTTGCTCCGATCAGTAGAAATTTTCTCCAAATTGACAATCTTACAGCTAAGCCACATTGCTGAGGCTCTTATGGAAGTTTCCTTCTCGGATGGACAAAAAATTCTCAACAAGGTCCTTGCTGTTTGATCTTAACGTGCATTAACTTTCATCATGTGTGGATATATGTACCAACAAAATATCTTGACCATAACACATAATTATATCCATGGCTTCTGTTGTCTGCATGCAAATGTTAAAAGGAAGTAGGCCTTTAATTATGCACCTAACTGATGCTGACTTACGCGGCTTTGACTTGAGGGACACTGATTGCCTTGCCTCAGTAGTCTCAACTTTTCGGTCATTTTTTATTCCTAGAAAAAAATGTAATTGGATTCGGCACTTTTGCATGTTTTCTTATGTTTCTTTACTGTTTGAAGTATGTTTTATTGTATTAACCTATCTTGCAGAATGAGTATCTCTCCGCATTGTATATCATCCAAAAGGGTAGGGTGAGACTGACATACAGACCAGAACTGTTGAGTCCAAATGCATGCAGCCTTCTGTCCACTCTTCTTGATCAAGGATGTCATTTTCAAGAGAATGATGAACATGTGGTGGAAATGTCAGAAGGAAGCCATTTTGGACAGTGGGCTATTCTTGGCGAGCGTATTAGCTCTCTTACTGCAGTTTCGGTTGGTGACGTGGTTTGTGCAGTTTTTACAAAGGAAAACTTTGATTCAGCAATTGGGCCTTTGTCAAAAGTTCAACAGGATGATCTCAAGTATGCAATTGATCTGAACTTGATTTTATTGTTTTCCAACTTCATTGCTTTTTCTATGTATTGCATTGTGGCTTCCAGGTCAAAAGATTTCCAGGATTCTTCAAAAGAATGCACTCCAAATTCTGATGCTTCTACATGCAAGAAGCTTCAGTGTTCTGATTTGGTATGGGGTCAGTAAATTCGTTGTATTTTGTCGGAGGAAATTTTGTTTGATACAGTTCTGGAAAATTTTGAATCTCGAATTTGCCAATTGTATGCAATCTAGGAATGGAAAATGAGCGTATATTCAACTGATTGCTGTGAGATTGGTCTTGTCATTTTAAAGGGTTCTGGTACGTAACTTAGTGCTTGTTTGGTTTCTTTTTGTATAGATGCTGCTTTGTTGATTGGTCCATCGGTATTCATGCATGTACAATTCCTTGTCCATGGAATAATTATGGCATTTGCTATATTTGATTGTCTTCCAGACACTATGCAAAGCTTAAAAAGGTTCTCTAAAAGGAGGATTAAAGAGCTAGGAAAGGAAGATCAGGTCTTGAAGGAGAAAGAGCTAATGAAGAGTTTGAACCCATCCACGGGTGTGCCAAGGGTTCTATGTACATGTGCTGATGAATCGTATGTCGGCATATTACTCAATTGTTGCCTTGCATGTTCATTGGCTTCTATACTTCACTCACCCCTGGGTGAACAGTCTGCAAAATACTATGCAGCTTCTGTTATTGTTGCACTTGAAGAACTACACAAGGTTAGGTGCACTTCTGTCCTAAAGCTTCCGTAGTTTCTTGATATTTTTCCTTCTGGAGGTTGCAAAGAAAATCAAATATTTACTGATATCTAAATTTGAAGATCAGGACTCTATCCTTTATAGAGGTGTTTCACCGGACATTCTAATGATTGATCAATTAGGACGTTTGCAGGTAGTTTGATATCTTTGGCTATTTCTTTTTGTTAGTTATGCAAGTCTCAAGCTATAATTTGTAGTTTTATTACAATTTGAAGTTCATGTTTCCATAGCTTGTAGACTTTAGATTTTCAAAGAAGCTAGCTGGTGAAAGAACTTTCACTATATGTGGGAATGCAGACTGTTTGGCACCAGAGATTATTTTGGGAAGAGGACATGGCTTTGCTGCAGACTGGTAAGATACTTCTGTCACTCTCAAATGCTGGTTTTTAGGGCATTCTATCAATATTCATGATTTCAGCAATGTGTTGGATGTGGAATCATGAAACGGATTCTTTTAGTTTGTCTCTAACCTGTCTTTTTTTTGTCATGTATCATTCCATGCTTTGACCTAGTTCTTGTAATGCAATTAGGTGGGCCTTGGGTGTTTTAATCTATTTCATGCTTCAAGCTGAAATGCCATTTGGCTCATGGAGAGAAGGTGAACTAGAGACATTTGCAAAGATTGCCAAGGGACATCTTACCTTACCTCAGTCCTTCAGCATAGAAGTGGTTGACCTTATCACCAAGGTTTCCTCCTTTTTTTTTTTGCTTTTTCTTGTACAAATCAAGTTATTTTTTATGAAAAGGTCTCCTTGTTGAACTCACTAATGTAGATGATTATATACTGAAAACTTTCCACCAGTTACTCGAAGTTGATGAAGCTGCACGACTGGGAAGCCAGGGTCCAGATTCGATAAGAAGTCATTCATGGTTTGAGGGCCTCGACTGGAAATCAATTGCTGATGGCAGTTTTCCTGTTCCAGCTGAAGTCGTTTCTCGCGTAGATATGCATGTCGAAAATAATGCAGAAGATACTGCACTCGCCATCTCCTCTCCCTCTAAAGATCTAGCTGTTCTTGACACCCCAGAGTGGCTGGAGGACTGGTAAAATTTTCGCCAGGTTTTGGCACAATGCGGATCTTCTTCCAGCCAGTTTCACCACGCCCGATTTCAAATCCATTGGCATCAGCAGAACACGTCCTCTTCGCCGTAGTGAATTATTTTGCATGTCGTTAGCATCAAGCCTTTCGAGGCAGTGAATTCTTTTTTGGCTGTAAAGTTTTGCTAACATTTCACATCCCAATCTCCCACCTTTGGAACCACAGTTCACGAGACCCAATGTTACACACTGGTCTTACATAAATCTTCAGAGTGATTCATAACGGAGTTGTTGTTTTATTATTTTCTATTACACTGACTTCAGTTCTTAACATATATAAATATTCATATACAATATTTTCATTGTATTCAAGGTCGATTGTGCTGTGTGAATTTTCCATTCAGAATGCTGTTGACAAGAGAAATGCATTAAGATCCCAAGGTTTCAATCTGTTCTCAAATTTGAGGACGATGCTTGTTATTTTAAGCATTTATTTCTTTTAAAATTTGTACTTTTTATTTATTTCTGCGACTGCAACTTTAATAAATATTTATTCCTTCTTTTTTTTTCTCTTCTCCATTTTTTTGTGTTCTCGCGCTTGAACATTTTAGGGATATATGTCGCCGAGTTGGTTTACAAGATTAGTCAGGATAATGAATAGACTTTTTTAATCGATCATCGATTTGATGAAATATAGATCTTATCAAGAATTTTTGTCTGAATTTGTTGTTCTTCTTTTCGATGAATTATCCACTGGATCGGAGCGAATCCGTGCGATTGGGTGATTTCATTAGGGTTTTGGAGGAGGGATGTTTCCAGTCTCGTCGACGTGAAGGAGGAAGCTTCCTATTAATTTCTTCTTGACCGGTAGAGTCGTTCCGACGACTCTGCCATGGAACAATGCTCCATCTTAGTTGGATCTTTCGTTTTCCGTTCAATTATCCATTGTTCCTTTTGACTATTCATGGTGGGAAGGAGACCCAACAATCTCTTCCGCCGTGACGGTAACGTCAAGCGTGAATTGGGTTGGAAGAAGAGGGCGTCAAGGACGTGATGTCTCGTTCTATATCAAGCAGCTGTAGGCGTCAACTCCTTGCTCTGTTCTCTCTACAAGAATTCCATGGCTTTGATTCCACTCTCCCTCCTCCTCCTCCTCGCTTGCTTCTCCACCTCTTCCTCCTCTTCGCTGTACGCCGACCACTGCAGCTCCGTCGTCCCCGAATCCGAGGCTACCAGCCTCTTCGTCGACTCGGACTCTTCCTTCCGTATATCAAATGGCAATTTCTCCGGCGGCGGCGGCCTCTTCCGCTCGCCACGTGCCTCCAATTCCTCCTCCTTCCCTTACTTCCACTTCTATCCCAACTACCTCCACAAGACGCGGTCACCCGACGTCCTCCAGGTCGAGGGAACCCTAGTCCTTGGACACGGTCATCCGACCGTCTTCCACGGCATGACGTATCACCGTAGGCGTCCTCTTCGGAACGTCACCTTGCAGGAAGAAGCCACCTTCGACTTCTCCGGTTTCTGGTCTGAATCAACCGGCAAGCTTTGTATGGTTGGTCACAGGATCTTCTACAAGCCCTTAGGTGATCCTCTTCAGCCTTCTGCTGTTTTGAAGCTCAATTACCCCAAGACTTCCAACATCTTTACCAGTCTGGTGAGCGGGACTGTCGAGAGCTTGGGCCCCCACCACATCGATCCCATCTCGCTTGTAGCCTATGCTCAGAAGGAGTATGATTTCACGATGATTCCCCAAGCCAACCACTCATGCTCCTCTCTTCCATTCCAGGAGGAATCACTAAGTTTCGGGCGTACTTCAGTTTGTAGTAATCTCCTCCAGTATGTGACTGGTAGAACATTTCAGCTAGACTACGACAGTGGCTGCACCGGTAGCAACTGTGGAACTCTAAGTGGTAGCTTTGGGTTCTCCGCTAGATTCTTGTCCTTCGATATGATACAGTGCTCGGAGAACGGCCGGCTGCATCTCTACATCGAATTCCCCAATTCCAGTTATCTTTCATATGATGTCCCAATGGTGCCTAAGAAGTCCATGGTGGGCGAAGGCTATTGGGACCATGTTAAGAATCGTCTCTGTCTCATAGCCTGTTACATTCTTGAAGGGAGTTCACAGGCGAGTCCCTCTGTTGGTGATTGCTCGATCGGACTGAGCTTATGGTTCCCAACTGTCATGACGCTGAGAAGAAACGACGTGGTTGGTCATATGTGGAGTACCAAGAAGAAGAGCGACCCTGGCTACTTCAGCATGGTCTCGTTCCACCGGTCGGGTGGGCGAATGGTCACGATTCCTGGGCTGAGATATAACTACACCCAAATGGATTCTGTCAGCAGGTCTTGCAAGGTGAGAAGTGGCAAAACACAGTCGAGCGAGGAAAGGTATCCCGATGGAAGATCATCCCACGACATGCGGTTCAGTATCGTGGTGAAGGATGCCGGCGGCCGAAGTGGATGGGGGGAAGCTAATGTCTTTTCTATAGGCGACGTGCTTTGTGGTGATAATGACTTCGTTATGGCGTCGGAGACGGCAAGCTTCGTGCCTGCAGCTGACTGGGTCGCGAAGAATCAAAGTGTTTGGAACGTAAGCTATGCCATAAGCTATTATATGTACTCTGCTTCCGCTGAGGGGGGCGAACAGTTTGACATTGCTGCTGAGGGGATATACGATGCTGGAAGTGGAACACTCTGCATGAAGGGATGTCGATCTCCGAGTTTGCCCACCAAAAACCAAACAGCAATTGACTGTGAGATCCTAATCAATATCCAGTTTCCCCCTCTAAACTCGAAGATGGGAGGTCGTATCAATGGCACCATCAACACCACAAGGAGTAAGCAGGACCCTCTGTACTTTGACCCTATAAAGTTGTATTCTCAGCAAATTTACGCAGCAGAAGTAACTGAAGCGATTTGGAGGATGGATGTCGAAATCGTCATGGTCATGATCTCTCTCACGTTGTCGTGCATTTGCATTGGGTTGCAGACCTTCCATGCCAAGAAGCACCGTGACGCCCTGCCTTCCATGTCGATCACCATGCTCGGTGTTCTTATCCTTGGCTATGTGATTCCTCTGGTGCTGAACTTTGAAGCCTTGTTCGCGAACCGCAGTCAGTCTGGCTTTCTAAGTCTGCGGAGCGGTGGGTGGCTCGACGTTCATGAGGTCATCGTGAGGATCTTATCCGGCTTAGCTCTGTTCCTCTCCTTCCACCTGCTTCAAATGGCGTGGTCCGCGAGGTCATTGGACGAGAACAAGGGGCACCGCGTCGCGGAGTGGACGACGCTCAAGCTGTGCTTGCCGCTCTACTTCGCCGGGGCGCTGCTCACTTGGCTCATCAGCTCAAGGCACCACCTGCAAAGGTCGGAATTCAGCAGGCAGCGACACGGTTCTCGCTGGGAGGATTTGGTCCCTTATGCTGGCTTAGTGCTCGACGGATTTCTGCTCCCTCAGATCGTTCTTAACGTCTGTCGGAACTCCAAAGATAAGATCCTGACGCCTTTCTTCTACGTCGGAATCACGATCACCCGAGCTTTGCCTCATCTGTACGACGCTTATCGCTCTCGCAGTTACAACCGTCGCATTGATTCATCGTACATCTACGCAAGTCCAGGCGGAGATTTTTACTCGCTGGTGTGGGATGTCATCGTTCCTTGTGAAGGTTTGCTTTTTGCAGCGGCGATATACCTTCAGCAGCGAGTTGGTGGTTATTGTCTTCTTCCCCAAAGATTCAGAAAGCGTGTGGAGTACGAGGCAGTTCCAGTGGTTGCTCTTTAGCCCTTCCTGTGGAAGACCAGATTGCAGCAAGTCCATGAAATGTAGTAGTAAGTCAAGTCTTGTGTTGGTCCTGTGGTAGCTTTCTTCATGCGTCGACTTGCCCACCCCATGATCAAGTGTGATGAAGACTGTTCTTCTTCCACAGAAATATAAATAAGGGTTTCGTAGACTAAGAAGATTTCAGATTCATCGCTTTATTGAGGGTGTAGAATGTGGAGGATTACCACCGAGAAACAAAAGACAAGGCAAGTGTCTTTACGTACAGTTCATGCAGACGAGAACGTTGACACCTCGGTCCTGTACACCATCACCATGCGATTGCATCTGCTCCTTTCCAGCTTTCTCATGGTTCACCACCACCATCTGAAGCTCGCCGGGACTCGCCGACCCGATATCGTCTTGGCCAACTCGAAAGGCCCACAGATCAAGATGCTGTCCTCGACGGAACTTGTTGTCATCGTTCCTTGTGAAGGTTTTGTAACGTAACCGTACGTAATTCATAATTTATTATCGTGAATTTTTTTATTTATTATGGTTTAAATAATTTTAATTTTTTATTCATGTATGAAATTATTATTATTAAATTAAATATTTAATATCATTAAAGCTCTTTATTATGGTCCAAACGTTACAAATTTGAATTAATTCTTGAACGTTATGAGTTGGTGACGATAAATGTTCTTGATGAGAGAACATCTATATATACATGAGGATTTTGGTCCATTGGCTTAATCATCTCTTTGAAGCGAAAGGGTTTCCTACACCATCTAAAGCGAGAGTTTTGAGCCGAGAAGTGCCAAAGTTCAAGAAGAAACCTCTGTAGAAATTCTTGGCGACAATGGCTGGAGGTACGCTATTTTGTTTCCACATTAATTTTATTGTGTTTCTATTATAATGATTTAGAAACACAAGTTGGCTTCAATGAAAATTCTAACATTTGGTATCAGAGCAGATTGACCTCTGCCTTGATATGAAAAAGTTTTCATTTTTATGCTATGAAAATGATTTGACTTTGGTTTCTTCTTGGAAACTTCTTGATATATTTTGTTGAAAATCATAAGGAAATATCATTTTCAATATTTTTAGTCGGTAAAATGCCCATATTACGTATGCATATTTAGTTATATAAAATTATGCTTATGAGTTATTTTTTTTTGATTAAAATGTCTAGTGATCCATATAATCTTAATTAATTAAGAATTAGCCATAGCATCCTTAAATAATTAAAATTATATATAAAGTTAAAATAAGGATCATATAAGTAATTAGTGACTGATTATGTTTCATATAATAATTGTTATCCCATAGGATCTTTTATTATATTTAATATAATTAATCAGGATAAAATATCAAATTATTTTTATAATTTACCCACAGGGATTATGAATTGGAATATAATTTGATAGTTTTATCATAAAGTTCATTTGAATCTATTTGAATTAAGAATTTAGCTCACAGGCAATTTTTATGTCATGAGATTCATATTTTTGGCATGTTTCACATTGGTAAAATATATAATTTAGTTTATTAAGCTTCAAATTTTGACATAAGCATGTTTGACTTTATGTAGTTTCTCAAACTGTTAATTTCTTTGATATTCGATATGATATTCTCGAACTTAGTAGTGATAACTATAAGATATGGAAGGAGAGGGTTCTCCTCCATTTAGGGTGGATGGATATTGATTATGCTATTAGGAAAGATGAACCACCTATAGTCACTAATACCAGCACTCCAACTGAGATCGCGTTATATGAGCGATGGGAGCGATCCAATCGGCTCAGCGTGATGTTTATCAAAACTAAGATAACTGCTGGCATACGTGGTTCTGTTGACCAGCATGAAAATGTCCGAGACTTGCTAAAAGCTATCGATGAACAATTTATCACTTCGGATAAGGCACTAGCAAGTACCCTTATAATGAAATTTTCATCCCTTAGACTCACCAACATAAAGGGTGTGCGTGAGCACATAATGCAAATGTGAGATATTACGGCTCAACTTATGAAACTTGAGATTAATATGTCAGAATCCTTCCTGGTGCACTATATTCTGAACACCCTTCCACCTCAATATGGCTCTTTTAAAATTTCATACAATACACATAAGGACAAATGGTCAATCAATGAATTAATGACCATGTGTGTTCAAGAAGAAGAGAGGCTATTGATGGAATTGAGTGAGAGTGCATTGGTGGTAACCACTTGCGGGAAGAACAAAATTGACAAACATCAAGCCAATCAAAAAGCTTATCAGCAGGGAAAAGGTAAAATACCATCCCAAGGTGATATCAAGAAAGAAGCAAGATGTTTCTTTTGTAAAAGAAAGGGACACATGAAGAAGGAATGTACGAAATTCTAACAATGGCTTGAAAAGAAAGGTAAACCAACCTCATAGGTGTGTTGTGAATCTAATATGGTCAATGTTAATATTAACACATGGTGGATTGGCTCTGGATCAACAATCCATATTGCAAACTCTTTGCAGGGTATGCAAAACCTAAGGAAGCCAGTGAGAAGTGAGCAAAGCACCTTATCAGGAAATAAGATGGGCTCACATGTGAAGGCAATTGGAACATGCATTTTAACTTTAAGTAGTGGTTTTGTTTTAAAATTGGAAAGGAACTTTTATGTACCAAGTTTCTCACAAAACTTAATTTCTGTTTCCAGACTTGTACCATTTGGGTATTACTTTAATTTTAAAGACACATCATTTCGTTTATTATATAAATCTGATTGTGTTGGGAATGATATTTTATCTAATGGTCTTTATCGTATTTTATTACAAAATGATAATACTCAAAGTTCAATGCATGTTAACGCTGGCATTAAGAGGTGTAATATTAATGAGGACTCCTCTATATTATAGCATCGGAGATTATGACATATCTCCATAGAGAGAATTAAGAGATTAGTTAAAGATGGGGGTACTTAGTACTCTTTATTTTACTAATTTTAAGACTTATGTGGACTGTATTAAGGGAAAACAGACCAATAAGTCCAAAAATGGTGCTAATAGGAGTTCAGACTTATTAGAGATAATTCATACTGATATATGTTGTCCACACATAGATATACATGGTCAGAAATATTTCATCTACTTTATAGATGATTACTCACGATATATGTATATATATATATATTTGCTTCATAATAAAAATGAAGCATTGGATGCCTTCAAAGTCTTTAAGGCTGAAGTTGAGAACCAATGTGGCAAGCAAATTAAAATTATAAGATCAGATAGAGGTGGAGAATATTATGGTAGATATACTGAAAATGGACAAGCACCTGGTCCTTTTGCTAAGTTTCTTCAAGAACATGGGATAGTTGCCCAATACACTATGTCTGGTCCTCCAGACCAGAATGGTGTTGCAGAAAAAAGAAACCGAACATTATTAGACATAGTGCAGAGTATGCTTAGCAACTCCAATCTTCCTAAATTTTTGTGGACTGAAGCACTAAAGACGGCTGTGTATATATTAAATCGAGTTCCAACTAAGGCTGTCCAAAAGACACCATTTGAATTATGAAAAGGTTGGAAACCGAGTTTGTGACATATGCGCATTTGGGGATGCCCGTCTGAAGTCAGGATATATAATCCACAAGGGAAGAAACTGGACCCGAGGACTATTAGTGGGTATTTCATTGGATATGCCAAAAAGTCCAAATGTTACAAGTTCTATTGTCCATCACACACAACTAGGATTGTGGAATCAAGAAACGCTAAATTTCTTGAAGATGATGTGATTAGTGGGAGCAATCATTTCAGGAACAGTTTCCGAACATGATCATATAGAATCTCAACCTTCCACATCAAATGTTAGATTGGTTATAGTTCATAGCACTCCTCAAGTACAAACTAGTGCTGAATAATCAATCATTGAAATTCCACAAGTTATTGATAGTATTCTAATAGATCAAGCAGTTCAGGAATTACAACAAACTCCTGAACAACTAGTTGAATCACAAGTTCCTCAAGGAACCATTGGTACAACATTAAGAAGATCTACTAGAAATAAAAGATTAGCAATTCCTAGTGATTATGTTGTATATCTACAAGAATCTGACTATAATATTGGAGCTAAAAATGATCTTGAAACATTTTCACAAGCCATGAGTTGCAAAGATTCAAATTTGTGGCATGATGCTATGAAAGAAGAGATGAATTTCATGATGAGCAATGGAGTCTAGGATCTTGTAGAGTTACCTAACGAAGCAAAGACTACTGGTTACAAATGGGTCTTTAAAACAAAGAAAGATTCGTTAGGCAACATTGAGAGATACAAGGCAACACTTATTGCAAAGGGATTTACTCAAAATGAGAGAATCGATTATACGGAGACATTTTCTCCTGTATCTAAGAAAGATTCTCTACATATTATTTTGGTATTAGTTGCTCATTTTGCCCTTGAGTTGCAACAAATGGATGTTTCATAGTATTGGTACTTGGTGAATGTGACGTGTGGCATCACCTGCATGTTTGACTCAACAAAAGTCAACTGTTAGATTATTATAAATGTTGACCCAAGAGTGATACATTCCTTAAAATCATGTACGAAAAGAAAGTAAAAATTAATGATAAAAGGAACATGATCGACTAAAGAACGAAGCCTACTACAGTCTGTGAGAGAAGTGAATTTGCTGTGTCCAAAGAAGAACAAAGTATTCGAACAATTAACATTCTTGATTCAACTCGGATGGACATAAAAGCATTGGACATACTCGTCTTTGGTGTCAAGAAAATGGCCGAGAATAGTCCGGTGGTGTGTTTGTTCTCGAGTTGAAAATAGATAGCATTGCAAGTAAACATTAATCGATTCGCTTCTCTCTGTTAAGGTTGGTCTGTATTTTTGGAAAATAGGAATCGAATTACTTGGAGAACAAGAAATCCAAGCATAAAAATACTTTTATGAGTGAGGATAAGCAATAAGTATGAGAATAATTATATGCGAAGGCAAAAAAACTCAATTTAGTTATTCTATAAATATCTTATCTTATGACAATAAAAGGGGAATAATCTTAGCTTTTTTTTTTTTAGAAAGCTAGAAAGGGAAGTAAGTAGACTCATCCTTTCCATTAGCCTCAGCGATCTCTTCAGCATTCCATTATTTTTGTGCAAAATACTTTCAAGATTCCTACAACTTAATAGAAATTTTATTCCTTATATATTAATCTCATTGTTAT